TGAAAAAGACTTACAAAATTATAGGTAATATAGGTGTTTATATATAATAATTACAAAGCCTAACGATTAAATATTTAATATAATTAATAACGAGACGAAAATTATGATAACATAATAATACGTAAAAACTAATAATATAATTCTGTGCGATATATTCGAAAGCAAGGATCTATACCAGGGGTGTCAAACACAAAAGCTAACTTGGGCCAAATAAACAATGCTTAACTTTAGGTGGGCCGTAAAAAAGAATCAATGTTCATAGAAACAAATATTTTTATTTTGACTAGTACACTGTAATAAACATATATAAAGTTAAATTATTGATTACGTCTTGATACTTGACATCTCTTCTCTGATACTATCTTTCCTATTTCGGGAGAAATTTTATTGGCCGAGACTATTTCTATCTTATTTTTACTTTGCGTCGGATATATTGACTGGGCCGTAAAAATGTTCATCTCGGGCCGCATGCGGTCCGCGGGCCGCGAGTTTGACACTCCTGATCTATACAAAGGCCAACATCGCTATCTTTGCACTCGTACCGCGAATCCGTTCTTTTATCATTTTTGCTACAAATCACACATCCGCGTCTTCTGTATACACTTCATTTCGATGTCGCATATACGCGGCACCCGTGCCCACAGGTCGTCGAGTGGGTGCCGCATATATGCGGCGCTCGGCGCGAAAGGATTAAAAAAAAGAAATAAGTACTACAACAAAATTTTCGTCCGTAACGTTTGTATACGTGAAGTCATCGCGTGGAACTCCCAATCGCCGGCACTGCGAGGGTTAAGAGCCCGACTACCGATCGCACCGGAAGTCCTCGGATTCCGCTCGATCAACGCGCGCGTAAAGGATCGCCGCGAGTTCCCTGCGGCCGCCTAGTATTTTTCCTCGGAACGGAGCGTGTTTACGGGGGAAACTCGCGCCGGGCCTCGTAAATACGAGATTCGCGGCCGCGGGAAAGATAAATATTTTCGCGAACAAGTAGTCGGCCGTTCTCCGTGCTCGACCCCGCCAAGTGTATCCGCGAAGATGCAAAGTCGTTACGTAACCGCGCACACGCATGCACGCCGGTCCTTCGCGAGGGTGCGCGTGTGCGTGTGCGTGAGCGTGTGCGCGTGTGCGCAGCCAGCACGGATGAAAGATTAACGAGGATTGATCCCTTCGAAAGCGACGCGGGAGCATATTTATTGTAACCTTGACACAGTTCCCGGCATCGGGCTCTCTTCCTAGATCCAGGCCGAGGGGGTTCCCGTGCCCCGTCCTCGCGCGCGCCTCGCGCCCCGCGCCGTTTCGACCCCGTGGAACAGAGGCGGGACAATTTTATCGCTAATGCGCGCCGCTGCGCCGCGGTACACGTGTTACAGAACTCTCTCCGCGTTGCATCATAACCGCGTATCGATCCGGCGAACATTGTAACACGATGGCAACGATGATGTTTCATTTACCCTGGCGCGGGAGGTCCGGGCCCGCGCGAACCGGGGCGTCGAGGAGAACTGTATGAAATCGTCGGAGGCAACTGTACGAAACAAACGCGTCGGGTTTATCCTGCTATCCCGTTTCACGGATGTCCGTGCGTCACGGTCTGCTCCGAATAGAAATTCGCTGACGATTTCTTTTTCGTAACCGCGGCAACACTCGAGTGACACTGGTAACTGCTTGCCGATTGTCAACAACCACAAAAACGATCCGCGAGGCTTGAATAATCGTATCGCCCCTTTCTAAGTCGTTTATTTTTGTTTACGAGCCGAGGAACAACTTCGGGGAATTTACTGTATTTTGCGCGAACATGAATGGCAATGTCCGAGCACGAGTATGACGTCAGGAGCCCATTTCCACTCTGAGGGTTCCAGGTGAGTTCCAATTCTTTAATAGCGATTTCAGACGATCAGCTGTTTGTAACAATACCAACGGAAAGATCGACGTTGATCTCACGGAAGTAGATCCAAGAATTGAATCGATTCTGGCCTTAGACACCCTGAATAATCGTATCGCCCCTTTCTAAATCGTCTATTTTTGTTTACGAGTCGAGGAACAACTTCGGGAATTTACTGTATTTTTCGCGAACATGAATGGCAATGTCCGAGCATGACTATAACGTCAGAAGCCCATTTCCACTCCGAGGGATAAACGTTCCAGGTGAGTTCCAATTCTTTAATAGCCATTTCAGACGATCAGCTGTTTGTGACAATACCAACGAAAAGATCGACGTTGATCTAACGGAAGTAGGTCCAAGAATTGAATCGATTCTGGCCTTAGACACCCTGAATAATCGTATCGCCTCTTTCTAAATCGTCTACTTTTGTTTACGAGCCGAGGAACAACTTCGGGGAATTTACTGTATTTTGCGCGAACATGAATGGCAATGTCCGAGCACGAGTATGACGTCAGAAGCCCATTTCCACTCCGAGAGATAAACGTTCCAGGTGAGTTTCAATTCTTTAACCGTTCGAGTCCCAAGCATCGCGATCGCGCCGTTCAGATCTTGTATCGCGATCAAACTTTAGTGACGCGCGTACATCGCGTAGCTGTATTTTCTCATTTTTTTCCTTTTTATTTTGTTTGTCAATCTTGACGGGCGCTATCGCGCCGGTTCTCTTCGCAATGAATTAAGACAAGCGTTATTACGCTGTTCGCCACTTTTCGACCGTGTTTTCTGAATAACTCCTGGGACTCAAACGGTTAATAGCCATTTCAGACGATCAGCTGTTTGTAACAATACCAACAGAATGACGACGATCGTCGACGTTGATCTCACGGAAGTAGATCCAACAAATGAATCGATCCTGGCCTTGGACGTCCTGAAATCGTCGAAAGCACCCTCCTCGCGGGGTGGTGAAAGGCGGCAAATCCCAAACTATTTACGTGCGCTAATCGGAGAAAGCAAGTCTCGCGGTTTCTGCAAGGATCGTCGAACGGTCCACCCCTGGGTGGAAGTCGCGAAAGGGGTAGGAAATGTTCGACGGTGGTGTCGTCGTCGTCGTCGGCGTTGACGTGGTAGGCGTCGATGGGTCGCAATTTACAGCGGCGCAAAACGATTTCGAGGAGAGCCGGCTCTCGCAGCCGCCGTGTCTGCGTATGGATCGGGCTTTAGAAGAGCGGACGCGAGCGAACAGGACAGAACAGAGCAGAACAGAACAGAACAGAACGGAGCAGAACAGAACGAGCAAGCGAGCGAGCGAGCGGATCTCTTTGTGTAACACGAGGGCCGCAGGGCCATCTTCTTTCTCCTCTCTGGACGGCCTCTGATACCTACTCCCCTCCGTCCGTGTCCCGCCGGTTTCTCATCCTCGTTCTTCCTCTCCCGGAGAGGGCCGGAGAACCGAGAGACCGTCTCCTCTGACGCCGCTCTCCTCTCTGTCCTCGCGACGAGTCATCTCGTTTAGGATCGTGCAAGCGCCCCGGCGGTGCGGCGCGGCGCGGCGCATCGCATCGCATCGCATCGCATCGCATCGCATCGCATCGCGACTCTTTCGGCTCGGCTCGGCTCGGCCTGGCGAGGGGAGCGAGGAGGACTCGATGCCACGGGAACGACGTCGGGCGGGAGGGTGGCGCTGGGGGGACGGATCGTTGGCTGCGGCGATGCGAACACCATCGTCGTCGGCGTCGTCGTCGTCGGCGTCGTCGTCGTCGGAGGGGAAGACGGAGGGGAGAAGAACGGGCCGGCGGCGGCCGGTGAGCCAAGGAACGAGGAGAGGAACCGAGAAGAGAGGCGACAGGGTCGAGGGAGAGTAGCTACGGGACAGAAGGATATATGGCTGTGTATTATGTACTCGGGAACCGTGTTACATACGCCTTCGTTCCTCCATGTACCCCGGCGAGCAGGTGTGCGTTTCCTCGTGCACGCTCCCCAACGATCCTCTATATTGGTTCCAACGCCGCGTCGGTGTGTTCTGCGCACACACGGTCGGCGAGAACTGATCGAGAGAGAGAGAGAGAGAGAGAGAGAGAGACTCGATCCGCACGCAACCGGCCAGCCTCGAAGAACCCGCGAACAGATCACGCGAGTCGCGTGAAAAATCGGATACCCAGAGCTGCGGGTCCTGCGGATCGCATTATGCCGCCGAATGTGCGGATCGGAGAGGCCCGGGGGCCCTTCTTCAAGCAGCAGCTTCGGAAACGTTGTTAGGTAAATTGCTAATCGTTGCGAACGTTCCTTCTGAATTCTTGTTCTCTAATAGCCGGTTTAAATCGTCAGCGTACGTTGGCTTCGGTAACAGCGTCTCGAAGAGAGTTCACTGGTACATACATATGTATGTAGGAAATGTGAGCGTTTGCGATGATGTTCTTCACGGTCAGTTTGGAAGAATGTTTTTGCTATCAGTGTATGTACGATTCTTATGAATTCGATTGAAACGTAGTTCTCCGATATGGCCGTCGAAGACATCCGGAGGATGTTATAATTTACGTGCGATTATGTTACACCATGTATACATGCTGTAATTTAATATACGTTTCATTTCCTTCGTTTAATCCTTAACTGATGTAACAGAGTACCAACGTTGTATTTTATTTTCTAGCAAAAATATAATTTTATACATATATTTCTTTTTTATTATTTTATACACTGGCTAAGAATGAAATATCGGTGGAGCATCTATCAACGTTTCTTTTTTCTAATTTGTCGAAGTCTATTTTCTGATGATTCTAAAATCGCAACTGCCTTTGTCAATTTTGTTAACAAAGTTATTTTACCCGATGGTCGAGTGAAATAAAAAAAAATTTCGAAAACGGAACAATGAAACACGAAACTGTAAAAAAAACTGTCCTCGTCTCTTCGTAACTTGGGTTTAAAACGGACGGTCTAAGTATTAAAACGATACGATTGACGCAACGGAATCGTCGATATAAATTATCGCTACCAACTAATGAGAAACTAATTATAATCTATCGAGAACTTCTGCTGGGATTTTTAATGAGCGACACGCTGCGAACTCTGGCGGTCGGAATGATTACCAGACGATCTGCTTCGCGTTTCCATCAGTACCGACCGTAGGTAAGTCTCTGACAATTCCTTTATTTTGAATTCACACGGAAGAATTTCATAATCGCAAATACAAAATTTCTATATTTAATTATTTCATTATTATTTATTTAAGCACTGTAAACCTGTCATCGCGTTTAAGTCACAGAAGTTACTTTATTTTCGGATAGACACAAAATTGTGACTCCTTTTTGCCGAACTTCATCCACGCTAGGATCGGATAGTTCTGGAGCATCCAGTAAACTGCCATTAAAAAGTAATTAAACCATGTCCTGATCACGACGCCAATGTAGGGGGCACCTGCGGTACGAAGAGTAGGCTTAATTAGAATATAGACGCAACTTGTTGCTTTGAAACGGACTGGCAACAAAATCGGTCAATATGCAACGTTCTCTCTCGATTAGTATTATTGCCAGATCAATTTGCCACATATAACTTACTGCATAAATACAAGGACCACTCGCGTTGCTTGTAATTATAAGTCGAGTACCATCCAAGTGGCTTGGGATCTATGAACAGAAAACACGATCGAATTTAGACCGTATCATGGAGTACTTTAGCCCCTTAATTTAAACTTTAACCCTTTGCCGTGCCATTTTCTTCATAATTGAACTGATAAGCACATTTTCAATTGTAGTAATTTCTTCGAAAAGAAAAAGAAAATTTATATTTATCGTAAGTCTACATTTACTGGGATGATTAAGTATTGATATATATTAATACTATATATTATATATTACTATATATTAATACTATATATTATATATTACTATATATTAATACTATATTAAGTATTGATCGCAAGAGGACAACATTTTATCCCGGCTTTAAAAAACGGAATAACATTGGTATTTAATAGGATATTACTAGAAAACTGCACCACACGAGTCTGACTCGTTAAAGTACGGCGAGGGGTTAAATAAGACTAAACGTCCTCGATTTTGTCCTTTGTCTCGATTATAAATTGTTTTAGACAGCACGAGATTTCAAGAAACAANTATATATTAATACTATATATTATATATTACTATATATTAATACTATATATTATATATTACTATATATTAATACTATATATTATATATTACTATATATTAATACTATATTAAGTATTGATCGCAAGAGGACAACATTTTATCCCGGCTTTAAAAAACGGAATAACATTGGTATTTAATAGGATATTACTAGAAAACTGCACCACACGAGTCTGACTCGTTAAAGTACGGCGAGGGGTTAAATAAGACTAAACGTCCTCGATTTTGTCCTTTGTCTCGATTATAAATTGTTTTAGACAGCACGAGATTTCAAGAAACAACACAAATTATAGAAATAACACGATACTCACTCTGCGCGTTAGCCAGAGAGTACGTCAACTCGAAGAAGGCGTCGGCGTCCAAGTTGAAATCGACGTACCAGAAACCGTTGATCGCGTTCGAAGCGAGTTTCACGAAATCCGGCGACGAGTTCTGTATGCGTTTGTTGAGCACGTCGGCTGCGATTCTCCTGCACAGCTCCGTGGTCTCCGCAACGTTTCGCCGAGCGATGTTCATCCTGGAAAATCTGGCAGTCGTATCGGCGAACGATTTCGATTCGCTTCGACTTTCTTACCGGTCGGAGATATCCAACAGATGACCCGTCACTCGCCACAAATGATTGAAGCCCGCCTGTTGTTCATGGGTGCAGTGCCCCAGTCCTACGCGATGGGGTGCTATCAGCGAGAACCCTAGGAACCCGAACTGCGTGATCGCCATGTCCTTTTGGTAGATCGAGTTCAGTCCCTGCTCGACGCGTCTCTTGCTCACTATTGCGTGCCTCCATCTAACTGCGTTCACCGCCTTGAACCACCTTCGACAACGTTACTTTAAACTAGATCCATGTAACTCGAGCATCTTGGACACGATTCCATTATTAACCCTTTCGCGCCGAGCGCCGTATACACAGGGTGTCCCAAAAATGTCTCGCAATCCGAAAGTAGGGGATTCCTGAGGTGATTTGAAGCAACTTTTTCCTTAGCGAAAATGCAATCCGCGGCTTCGTTTACGAGTTATTAACGAAAAACCGTGACCAATCAGAGGCGAGATCATTTGGCGCGAGACGGCCGAGTCAATCAGCGGAACTGGGCTCCGTGCACTCTTTGGCTGGGTCGCCGCGTGCCAGCCGAGCTCGCCTCTTATTGGTCAGAGTTTTTCGTTAATAACTCGTAAACGAAGCCTCGGAGAAAATTTTCGCAAAGGAAAAAGTTGCTTCAAATGACCTCAGGAAGCTCCCATTTCCGGATTACGAGACATTTTCGGGACATTCTGTATGCGACGCCCGTATGAACAGGTCGTCGAGTGGATGCCGAAACCGCGAGACATTCTTTCTCCGATTAGCGCACGTAAATAGTTTAGGCTTGCGCCTACCACCACCCCCCGAGGAGGGTGCTTTCGACGATTTCAGGGTGTCTAAGGCCAGAATCGATTCAACTGTTGGATCTACCTCCGTGGCATTGTTACAAACAGCTGATCATCTGAAATTGCTATTAACCCTTTAGCGCCGAGCGCCGCATATATGCGGCATCCACTCGACGACCTGTGGGTACGGGCACCGCATATATGCGGCATCGAAATGAAGTGTATACAGAAGACGCGGATGTGTAATTTGTAGCAAAAATGATAAAAGAACGGATTCGCGGTACGAGTGCAAAGATAGCGATGTTGGCCTTTGTATAGATCAGGAGTGTCAAACTCGCGGCCCGCGGACCGCATGCGGCCCGAGATGAACATTTTTGCGGCCCAGTCAATATATCCGACGCAAAGTAAAAATAAAATAGAAATAGTCTCAGCCAATAAAATTTCTCCCGAAATAGGAAAGATAGTATCAGAGAAGAGATGTCAAGTATCAAGACGTAATCAATAATTTAACTTTATATATGTTTATTACAGTGTACTAGTCAAAATAAAAATATTTGTTTCTATGAACATTGATACTTTTTTACGGCCCACCTAAAGTTAAACATTGTTTATTTGGCCCAAGTTAGCTTTTGAGTTTGACACCCCTGGTATAGATCCTTGCTTTCGAATATATCACACAGCATTACATTATTAGTTTTTACATATTATTATGTTCTAATAATTTTCGTCTCGTTATTAATTATATTAAACATTTAATCGTTAGGCTTTGTAATTATATAAAAACCTATGTTACCTATAATTTTGTAAATCTTTTTAAATTAAAAATGTAAATATACTTGTTACATTAGAGCAACGATTGTTTTATTCGGCACAGTTATTATTTAAGACTTAGAACATCATATATACAGAAACCACGCGCACTGTGTATATTTCCGGAGCGAGTTTCCGTTCAGTGACGGTACTTCGGCGGATGCAGCTGCCGCAGCGAAAGGGTTAATAATCGAAACGAAATTTTTAGTGCTTTCCTTTTGTTATTGCCATCTAAGAGAAGCTAGAAACAACATTAGGATTAGAAAATATGTTTACAGGCATATTTGAATCTGCTCCGTAGCTCGTAGCTTTCTTATCAATGACCTTGCGCGTGCTGAGTTATCGCATAGTCGACGATGACTTCCTTATCTCCAAGAAATAACAACTAAACTTGAAACGGAGAACCGAATAAATTAAATAATTATATGGTACATGAAGATCCGAATATTTTACATATTAATTTCTGCTTATCGTATGGATGAGATTCGGATTAGCGTTGAATTACTATTGTATAATCTACTGTTACGCAATGACATTCTACTTTAAGAATTGATGTACAGTGAACCACCTTTTAAAACGTAATAACTTCTTTAAAACTGTGACTAAATGACTTGAATTTTTTTTAGATAATAGATGGACTAGTTTTCTAGACGATGACTAAAATGCTTTTCTTTTTTTTAATTTTGCTATTACTTGGAGTGACCAAAAAAGATAAGAAACTCTCGCTTTTTAACTTTTTTATCCGAGCCTATAGCAAAAATTTAAAAAATGCCTTTCGTAGATCTCGGTAACTTATATGCATGCTGAAAATTTAACCCGGAATCCAGCTACAGGCGTTGAAAGATTTAAAAATTTGGATTTTGGATTTCTTCCAGTTTATGTGGTCAAAATCGTTATAAAACTGCGATTTTTACCATCTTTAATTTTGTATAAATCAAAACAACGTCAACTGATTTCGATAAAATTTTCAGCATACGTTGTAAGTTACCGAGATCTACGAGAAGCATTTTTTAAATTTTCGTTACAGGCTCAGATAAAAAAAGTTAAAAAAACGAGAGTTTTTTATTTTTTTAGTAAGTAATACCAAGTAATAGCAAAAAAATAAAGAAAAAAAGAGTATTTTGATCATCATCTTAGAAGACCAGTCCCGCTATCATCCAAAAAAGATTCAAGTTCACTTAGACCAGTTTCAAAAAGGTTATTGCGTTTTAAAAGCTACGCGAACACTCTTGTGAGCACTGTAAGTAATCTGCCTGTCCACGAAACTTACTTCGAATCTGGCTTCAGCATGTCCGAGCTGTAAAGTTCATACATCAGTAACAACGTTGCCGAGTATCGTTTAAAGGAGGACAGGTGAGTTTCGCTTTTCTTCGTATAATTAAGCACCTGCGTTATGAATATTCAAATTAATTCGATCTATTTGCAGTCGGCCTTGACCGGCGCAGTTACCTCAATTATATCGGGGACGCATAAAATGGAAATCAAGCCCGTAAAGCTCGCGACTCCGAATGCCAGTAAATTCTTCACATAAAACTCTTGACCCCTGTAATCGAAACAAACAATAAGTCGATTCGTCGTACGATGAGAAAATACATTTTTTTAATAGTCTTAGTAGCATATTACAGTAATGTCTCTCTAATTGACGCTCAGATTGTCCACAGAAATGGACAATTTGGGAAGAGGAGATACGATTATTCGAGCCTTGTGGCTCGTGTTTTATGGTTATCGATTGTCAAAAATTATAATATTATAATATAAGCCTTTTGTGGCTCGTTTTTTATGGTTATCGATTGTCAAAAATTATAATATTAAATATAAATTATATATAATATAATATATAATATATTATATATAATATAATATATTATATATTATATTATATTATAATATATTATATATAATATAATATAATTAATTATATTATAATTATTAATATATTATATAATATTAATATATTAATTATATTATATTATAATATATTATATATAATATAATATAATATAATATTATAATTTATCATAATCTATCAAAAATTATAATATTAAATATAAATTATAATATAATATAATATAATATATTATATTATAATATATAATTATACATATTATATTATATAATATATACATATATATCATATATTATATTATATTATAATATGTTATATATAATATAATATTATAATTTATCATAATCTATCAAAAATTATAATATAA